CAAATGATCTGCCTGCAGTTCCAAAAAGGCTGTCGCGAGTGGACGTTGCGTCTGACAGAGAAAGCTCATATAGTTCAGACGACGTTGCCATTGCTAATCTTTTAGTACCTACTGATGGCAGTCGAGCGCAACGTTCCATTACTGTCTTTAACCACAACACGGCCGGACGGTACCAGTTTAATCCATTGACAACCAAACCGTGGCGCAGAGGCAACCAATCGCGCTCGTCACAAGTTCGTGCGTCAAGCCACATGGTAGACGATATTGGTACCTATGTCTCCGCCCAAATGGACGAGTCACCTATCGGGCGCCAAAAAAAGAAAACAACGTCAAAACAACGCCGCACAGTTAGCAGTGGCCCAGTACTTCTGACAAGCCAAGAAAATCAACCAGACGGCATTTGCAAAGTCGCACACAACGATGTAAAAGAAGAGGTAATGGCCGCTTTTAGAAAGAGAGTCGAAGTTGATGTTCGCCACATCTCGAAAATTGTACCTTGCCTTCGTGTCGATGGTAAGGAAAGTGTAGAGGATTTGTGTGTGGCGATAAGTAACGTATATCCTTTGCAGGACAGTGAAGAGGTGCTGGCTAAACTGGATTCAGTCTTGGAAAGATCGCTATCGCCAGACAAGCTTGCTATCGTTTTAAACACACTGTTTGAACTTCTACGAACGCGATCATGTGAAACAATACAGTTTTTTGTCGCGCGAGAGAGCTCGGTTCTGCGCAGTCATATTGCGCTTTTATGCCTCATCCTTCGGATTATACGGCAGACTGCGGCTGATGGTATTTACACTTCGAGACTAAATAATTTGTCGGCCGAGATATTTCCAAAGTTCGTATCATGTGTGTTTACGCAGCTGGTCGACAGCGTGTATTCCTTGGCTCTCCCGAAGGCATGGGCGTTGTCTTTAGACGCTCCTATGCGAGTGTTGGATGATTTGATGCCCCTCCTACGTGAGCTGGCCCAGCATTGCAATTCTTTGGAAAGGCTTTCTTCCTGCCTTTTAGAAGAATTACCGATCCAGTCATGGGTTCTTTCAAACGATGGGCACCAATTATACATCTCATCGGTGAGGCCGAACGCATGGCGCAATCTAGTTGTGTCTGAACAGGCGCTGCGCCGACAAACAGAGGCAATTCGTTTGCAAGCATTAGGCGAGAATATGTCTTCGGCGGAGATCGATGCCATCTGGACCCTTCTCGCATACTTTTCTCAGGAGGCAGCTGTTTTTTTGGAAAGCAGATACCCAAAACTATGGACCTTGGTGGCGAAAATTCTCGTCCGTGGGGTGCTGCGCGTGGACGTCGACCAAAATGCGCTGCCTCCAAGCCCGTCGCATCTAAGTAAGCTTACAAGAGCTATTGACAATGTGATGATTCTTATTCGGGTGATAAAGGAGATTCCTGTTAATGCAAAGATACTTTGTCGGGTAATTCATTCAGCGGTATCGTTGCAAGCTAGTTGCGCCCGTGAATGCGATCTGAAATCGACGTTCATGCCAACTTTTCAGTTGACCTTCGACAATCTTTGTAAAATGAGTCAAACCGCGAATGCGGAGCTGAGTGGTCCCACAACAGTCGGCTACGGCGAAGATGTCTTGCTCCTGAGCCAGCTAGTATGCATGCCAACCTCGTTGGCATGTAAATCTTGCGTAGAGTTGCTGTCACTTTACTTGTCTCTCGCACCGTTGGGAAAAAATCCCCGTAGAAAGAGGCTGAATAGTGATGTAAATGCCATGGTCGATATTCTCTTGAAAGAAGCATGCTTTGTAGAGCCAACTTTGTCCGCCGGCGCAGGCGACTCCTTTGCATCTGCCTTTAGCATGCCCCTTGACGGTAATCAAGTGATAGTAAAAAGGGGAGTAACGAAAGATGTGCTCGTGCTTGAAGCTGTGGCGTATTTCAAAATCGTGCTCATGCACTACAGTACAGGAAGCGCCTGCTTCACTTTGGCTTTCTGCGAGGAGATATGGGACATGCTTGCAGATGAAACTATGAAGGGACGCCGAGTCAGCTTTAAATTTGGTGAGCCGATGTCGACATTCTCAGCTTCAGGCCACTGCAGTGATCCGCTACTATTGTGTATCACTTCCAAAGCCCTTATAGTCTTGGTCAGCCAACTTCTGAATATGAACGTACTGAACATGCCTCTTGTTTCGGCGACCACGTGTATGTCTGATACAGGACCCCTTTCTGATTCACAATCCTTGCCTTATGCGCTGTCATGCCTCTACTCTTGCTTAGAGTGTTTATGCTACAGCCAGGAAACATTGCCGATTCTTGCGAATACCAGCGCGGCCTTGGGGATTCTTGCCACCCGAATGCGACAGCTGCTTGTCGATTGTCGAGAAAGCAGCGACAATCATTTGATACTATCAGTCCGCGGCCTGTCGCATTCTACGTTTGAACAGGGAATAAGGACGTTTGGAAACTGCTTCCGCAGCTTGATCTCACTTCACACCATCGACGAGAATGTTGATTTATGCATCTTGTCCGTTCTTTATATGCTTCAAACGCTGTTATTGCTGTGGCTGAGAATTCGTTCGGAAACGCATGGTTGTGCTCCTCGTGAGACTGTTGGTGTCGGTGTGGATGTCAATCGGCAGTCATCTGTTCAAATTAATAAAACTGTGTTGACCTTGCACGATGTTATCAACGAAGACGTCTTTGGAGGCATACCTGACGATGCATTTGTCGCCATGGACTTAGAATTGTCGAATTTTTGTTATAATACGCCAGCAGACGTAAACACCATGCTGCTTCAGTCTGTTTTGGACGCAAAACCTTCAACTCGTTATGTTGTCAACGTTACAGGCTCTTCAAGCCTGACTAACGGTCTGGCGAACGCAGCTGCGAAAATCGCCATTGATCGACACATGCAGAAAATTTGTCGATCTCTCGCTCTACTGGCGGCAGCTGATGATGACGATTGCGTGGGACAATTATTTTTGTCGCTCAAAGGGTACTGCCCTACTGCGGTCAATGTTGATGATATTGTGTATGTGCGAAAGTTTTTGGTGCATTTTGGGTCGGAGCTGATCCAGCTAAGCGAAATATCGCCGGCGCGGATATCGCTGCTGGTGAGGAGGCATTTCAAGTTCTTCTTGACCAATCTCATGTACCAACTGTGCGACTCGCGCCTAACAAACAGACTACCATCCGGCCACCTCTTTAATTTCGGTAGGAAAGGCGGCGAAGAATGGAAAGACCTTGCATTGAAGGAATATTTGGGCCGCTCGCAAAATCATGCACGTAAAAAGAAAAGAGCATTAGAGCTCTGGAATGAGATCTTGGCGACTGGTCGAGTCCTACATCACTATGGCAGCTCTGAAAAGTGGTTTCTTAGACTGCATGACGACCTGGTCGGGCTATATAATCCCTGTCTCCCAGACTCACTGGAACACGAATGGTTTAAACGCCATGTATTTTTGCGAAAGTTGATTTATTCAGATCGTATAGGCGTGAGGCATCTCGTCCCTTCTCTACTCGCTTCGATAATGGCCAGTCTGCTTCAACTGATGAGGAATATGCGCACAATTGACTTCAAAACATTTGAGGGCGCTAAATGTCACGAAGGCGTATCCTGCGCTTGTGAAGGTCTTGTTGTTATTATCGGTTTTCTTCTCGAACGCCATCACGATGACGACAATCACCAGGTCGCTGCATTGTGGGACAATTTGCTTGTCTGCCTCATCGTGCCGGTTTTAAAACGAGAATCGATCGACTTCGAAGCCGTCTTCCGGGAGATTATAGCCGACTGTGACCTCATCTTACGTGAGCAAGGAGTAAAGTCTCACTTATGTAAACGGCCAAAGGCGACGAATGCTGTCAACCCTCTCATAGGTTTACTCAACACATTTATCATACGGCATGCCCGGGTTTTGGTGCTTCAAGTTGCCCGCCACTCTCAGCTTTCCAGTAGCCGCTTCAATTTGGAAGTACTTATCGACATCATGCTCTCATTAGACGATCCCATGTCATTTGTTCGAGCTTATGACTACCGATCATATGAAAGCCTGAAGGCGTTCAAGGAGCTTTCACCTTTCCAAGTTGCGCTATATGAAGACCTCTATTGCTTTGGAACGGATCACCCGTTGGCCCAGGAAGAAGTAATTTTGCTGAGACGCTTAAAGCGACGAGCAATTTCGGACATGCTTGTACCGAAATTGGACAAAACGTTACTAGCTGATGCGCAGAAGATCAAAATTCTACAACTCATACGAATGATGTTTGAGACTGAAATCGATGCTCCAAAGTATGATCGCAACGATGTCATGGAGCCATTACTGTCTCCACTGCTTATTTGCAGAGCAGCACGCGGAATGCGCATGATTTTGCGAAAGGCGTTGGCAGATGATATAGTCAACGACAAACTGGTGGAAGCATTCTATCGATGTGCGACAGTAGTGGCGACTCTTCCGGCGGCAGCTGTAGACGCATCCTACGTGGGGAGGTTGGTCGATTGGTGTTATCCGCGGAATGTGCCTTCGGTCGATGAATATACCAACTTGACTGCTGTCTATCTCAATCGCATGATATGTTGGTTAGAGCACGTGGCCGCTGCGATCACAAGCGATGAATGTTCAACAGAGGACCTTTTCACTCGGCGAACATTGCTTCGCGAGCAATGTAACGACGTGTCGGGCAGCAGTATACAGCTTGATCCATGGCGTCGACTAATCCTGGCCGAGAATGACGTATTTCACACTGCTGTCTCATCAGCCTACATCAACAATGTGTATGCTTCTCGACCTGAGAGAAAAGGTACGATGCACGTTTGGAAGCCGACGAAAGAAGTCGACCGTGCCGCAAGAAAGTTTCTTCAGTGTCGGCACGGCATGCATATATGAGTTTACGTTATACATAGTATTTTGGAATGCTTTAATGAAAGCGTTGAGTTAAAAGCAGACCAACCATAAAACATACGACTCACCCATCGGGTAAATCAATTAGCGATTCATATTATAATATATAGTTTTCTTGACAAAACCGCTGTAGCAACCGTGTCCGAGTGGTCTAAGGAGCTGCACTCAAGTTGCAGTGTTTGTAAAAACGCGCGCGTTCAAATCGCGCCGGTTGCATTTTTTCATTCTTTTCGCCTCCGAAGGCGTTGTTTCGAGTCTTCGTACATACATCATATTATACACAACTCCGCTCTTGCTTTTCTGTTTTACAACTGAAGGGGCTGTACCTATGATCGGCAACCAATTTAAGTTTTTGCCCTTTTTTGACAACTGCTCGTGTTGTCGATTGTGATAAACACATTGGCGATGATTTAATTATGTGTTCATACGTTTGTAACTGCTGTTATTAGTTGAAAAACGGTAGCTACTTTTCCATGCTTAATTGTTGTCAAACACCGACGCCACTTTTGCAGTTCGAAGTGGTTGAATGACATTCTTAAGCTTGGCGACCATACTGTCCTTGACCAAAGCCATTTGACTTCTGATCATAAAACGTACCGATCTAGGCACAAGTGCTAAGTAGATGTTGGCCAGTGGGTTTCGCCATGGAAAGCCAATCCCTGCGCGGTCCGCAGGCACTTTGTTCCGTGCGTCCATCGTAATAACTTGTCCCATGTCGTCGACAAGAACCAGAGACGGAATGCCCTTTACTTTGTATTTTTCAGCTAACCACTTGCCGCGTTCACCCAGAGCTTCCTGTGGAGGAAGCGCAAGCCAACCTGGCATTTTGGTAAAGTACTGGCCGTATGATTCCATGTCGCGACAGCGGCTAACCCAGACAATCTGGAACTGATTTTTCTTGCCTTTTCGTGCATTAATTTTGTCGTAAAATGTCACTAGTTCTGGAGTAAATTGTCTACAAGGTCCACACCAGTCGGCGCTAAAGTACAGTCCAATCACTTGCTTGCCTTGCAATACTTCGTTCGTCAAGTGTGGTTTCAGCTGCGCATGTGTCTCATCAATCCTTTCCAAACTTAGCAATTGCATTCCAAGTAAGTCGATAAGTGGACCAGCTTGATGTGGAGGTGTCTGCTGTAGCTGCTTCTGTGATGTACTGTCCGAATTGCCAGCCTCGTTCACATGTTCGAAAGACGACATTTCCGCTGATTTTGCTGCAGTGAATGACGACTCAGACGGTAAAGCCTCTATAGTTGAAGCCCTTGCGTTTTCCTGCAACTCGGTTTTGACAGTAACATCAGCGACAGCGTTCGGCTCCAATGCATCATTTGCTTGACGTTCGACGGGCGACGACAGCCCATCACGGTTTAGCGCCTCCTCGGCTTCGGCGAGCTTCAGAACAAGCAGAGAAAGCAACCATAAAATTGATGTTCGGTTTGATATCATTGCAAAGTCGTCCTCTTGGCAACGCAACCCTTGTCCAAGTGTACCGGTAGCTATAGTGGAGGGTCGGCAGAATTTGTGGTCGTGCCGCGACAGCGTTTCGAACGGGAGTCGCGCTTGACGTCGCACTGGTTTAGGATCTTCACCATCATTTCAGCAGGCATAATCAGCAGCAGTCGCCTCGTCGCCTCTGATGTTTGATGAGAAATTGGAGACCATGCGATTTGCCGCATCGACAAAGCTATTAGTTACCCAAACTGTAGCAAGCATGTTGATGCCAACACTGTCGTTCCCAAGACGAACTTGGGGGTCAGCTATATCTACGCATAATTGTCATAGCTTACTCGTACATAAACGCACTGCCGCATCAAGCCTTTTCCTTGCCATCAATGATGAAGATCAGCCAAATTCATTAAAAGAACTTTATACTGAAATAAATGGTGAAGACATGTTGGAAGAATTATGGAGTGAGATGGATCATGGACAGCCTTCGGAGTGGCAGATTTTGAAACAGGTGCGCTCCAAGTCTCGTTAACTGGTACTCGTATATGAGTTTTGTACGACGTCTAACAAATGTTATGCTGTCTGTTGCGCAGCTTCTGGGTATCAACATTTTCACATATGTGTTGGCTGGAGCTATCGTATTCTTTCTTTCCATGAACGTCATAAACGGATCTGGCTGGCTAGGCAGCAGCCTCAGATTTCCAGGAACAGGTTCTATTACGGATATGTCTAGTGCGCTACCATCTACGGTGGACTTAAATTTACCGGATTTTAAACTAGAATAACATTTGGAATCGTTTTAGAGTAGATGCTTCATGTTTACATGGTGCGTTGGTTGAGGAGGCCCACAACTCACAGTTGACTGTCGTAAAAGACCAACGCGGTGAACACTGCATTATTGTCCATCCATAATATACCAATGAACAGTATTCCGCTTCTACCGCCGCGTAATGCCAATGCGTTGCTGCTTCTGAGCACTCTGTTTTGGAGTGGGAATGCATCGGACGCCTCGCTTGGTCGGAAAAGAAGCATCATCATGGGATTTGTCGCTATCGGCCAGCATGCGTTCGTTTTTTAGCTGTATGATTTGAAACAAATAGTCATCATCGTAAAAATGGTCGTCAGTCGTCGGTGAGGCTTGCCGTCAGAAACTTTCCACTTCCATACTTCCATACTATCAGGCGGCTTTCTGCGCCCCTACTCACCTCGACGTAATCCTCGATGTCATCGTTCTTTAACTCAATACGGGTGGGTGGACGACGGAGAGCCATTGGCAAGTATACCCGCTCAATGGAGAAAAGCAATTCAAGTGGTATCAAGCTGGCAGAGATAATGATTGTGTGCAGGCGTCGACCGACAATCTATTAGCATCACCTGTCGCATCGAGTATGTTTCAGTGCCGCTTATGACCACCAATTCCTTCGTCCCAAATGCGGTTTGTATACTGTACGAGTACAAGTATGATTTATGTTGTGAGCACAAATACATAAAGTATACTGTGATACTCGTACAGGCGCTGCTATAAGCTGATGAAAGAGCGTGGATTAACGCCGAAGCGAAACACTGTTCGATGTGTGCAACGACTCTATGGTACGTGACCAAGTAACTACTAGAGAAATGAGCTGCAAACGAGCGGCGAGATTTAACGAGTTAAACAGCAAAGGCTCTTTATCGCCTGCTTTACAGTGACCCAGTCGTTATTCCGACTTGTCCATGTGGGTGATCAAATCAAGGACGCGCGTGGAGTATCCCGCCTCATTGTCATACCAAGATACCAGCTTAACAAAGTTGTCAGTCAAGGCAATACCAGCCTTTTCGTCAAAAATGGAAGAGCGCTGGTCACCAATAATATCTGACGAAACAATGTCCTCGTTAGTGTATCCCAGGATTCCCTTCATTGACCCTTCAGAGGCGGCCTTAATTGCGGCGCAAATGGTTTCATAGGATGCTCCCTTTTCTAAACGGCAGGTCAGGTCCACCACCGAGCAATTGATCGTAGGGACACGAAACGACATGCCTGTCAGCTTGCCGTTGAGTTCCGGAATGACCTTGCCAACTGCCTTGGCAGCGCCAGTCGATGATGGAATAATGTTGTAGCAACCAGCACGGCCACCGCGCCAATCCTTCTGTGAGGGACCATCCACGGTTTGCTGCGTGGCAGTCACGGCATGAACGGTTGTCATGAGACCCTCCTTTAATCCAAACTCATCGTTGATGACCTTGGCAAGTGGAGCCAGGCAGTTGGTGGTGCACGACGCATTGGAGACGACATGCATGGAGGGATCATAGGAATCGGCGTTGACTCCCATAACGAACATTGGAGCATCCGGTGAGGGAGCTGAAACAATCACTTTCTTGGCTCCACCCTTCATGTGAGCCGAAGCCTTTTCAGTTGACAAAAATACACCAGTAGATTCAACAACATAGTCGGCGCCAGCGTCCCCCCACTTGATGTTGGAAGGGTCGCGCTCATTGAAGACAGTAATGGTCTTGCCGCCAACACTGATGCTTTTCTCGTCAACTACTTGGACCTCTGACGGAAAGTGACCGTGAGTAGTGTCATACTTGAGCATGTACTCCATGTACTTGGTTGGAATGAAGGGATCATTGACCGCCACAATGTTGATGTGTGGCATTTTCTCGGCTGCCCGCATGACAAGTCTGCATGATAATGTGGAATAGGTGAGGTAACAGTAATTTCAGATAATAAAGTTTCAAAGTATTGTAAAACAATCGAGCAAAGGATACAAGATCAAGAGTGGCGCGTTCCTTGCCATTCGTCGTCGTGCAATGCAGCCCAGCGAGCTTTACTCCATGCACGCAAAATCCTCACACTACGTACCGTCCGATGCGGCCGAACCCATTGATACCAATGTTGATGCTCATGTTGTCAAATCTACGCTGTCGATGGACTTGTCGGCTTGCTTGTGTGATGATCGTGCGGACGAGGAGCTCTTTCCAGTGCTGGAAGTTGCTCGTTCATCGTCAATCGTCATCCAAAGGTTCTACTCTTTGTGCTACAGTCGCCAACAAAACTGAGTGGTGGTGCGTCAGCGCTTGACTGACGTCATTTTTACCAACGAACATCACTCGGATTTGAATTCGTCGACAAGGGCCACGAAAGTCGGGCACCTCGGACCAAGCCGTTGTCGACCATAACTTCTTCTTCTGCTTCCAGTAATTGAAATAACCTGTCATTCTTGTCCGAAGAATGAGTCTCTCATCTCGCTCTCTGGCGGCATTCGCCCAGCGGCTAACGTCTCGGTAAGTCAGGAGCATTTGCGACATTCATTGCGCAATTTAAATTTCGCTCTCGGACCTTACTCATCACTGTTTTGGCAGCTCGTTTCACGCATCAGCCCGTACTGAAGCTCGCAAGTTCTTCATTGGCGGAAACTGGAAGTGCAATGGGTCCGTGTCGCAGACTAACGACCTGATTTCCATGCTGAACCAGTCGTCCCTGTCCACGGACACCGAAGTCGTTGTCTGCCCATCGCAGGTGCACCTTTACCAAGTCAAGCAGGGATTGCGCACTGATATTGCCATTGGAGCACAAGACTGCTGGATGAAGGGAAACGGAGCATTTACGGGAGAAACTTCGGCGGAAATGCTATCTGACATGGGCGTCAGCTGGGTCATCATCGGACACTCGGAGCGGCGTGAAAAGGGAGAGTCCAACGCTGAGGTGGCGGCTAAAGCAAAGTACGCCTTGGACAAGGGTCTTTCCGTGCTAGCTTGCTGCGGTGAGCCCAAGGAGAATCGCGAGGCTGGCA